CACTAACCCCACTCCTCCTACACACTAACCCCACTCCTCCTACACACTAACCACACTCCCCCTACACTCAAACGCCATCCCACACACTAACCCCCCCGCACACTAAAGTCATTCCACACACTAATCCACCATTAGTTATGTAACTTAATCCACCATATGTTATTAATAAAAATTTAATATTTTTAATAAAATTGGGTTCTATGGGGAATTAAAAAACACATGTAAATAATGTGCCTACGTTTTGAAATAACTTGTACGTAAAATAAATCTGAACTGCTACTTTATACCAGTTCTTTTTTTGTAGAAGCTGAAGAAAAAAAAATAAGATTCTTCAAGCGTAAACATTGGTGATACTTCACATTCACGTCTGCTCTAATTTGTTTCCAAAACAAGGAAGTGGTTAAAAGGGGGATTAGAATAAACTCCAGGAAATGCAGGAACGCAAATCTCCATAGCCATGTGTGTGTGTGTGTGTGTGTGTGTGTGTGTGTGTGTGTGTGTGCGCACGTGTGTGTGAGAACCAGACCCACACAGACCCACTCAGTAGAATTACTGAGCGTGTGTGTGTGTGTGTGTGTGTGTGTGTGTGTGTGTGTGTGTGTGTGTGTGTGTGTGTGTGTGCTGACTTTAATTTGGGTTAATTACGCTCATTTGGTGCTTCTTTGATGTTATCAGAAATAGAAACTGAGACATGAAGAAAATCCGCAAGCACAAAGTATAAACACCAATCAGTCTGGATCGGCCTTTATACTACAGATATGATAATCGTCCAGCATGGGGCGGGTGTGTTCAGCTTCACACACCACCCTCTGCTCCATACTAACACAGAGAGACAGACAGTGAGAGACGAATCACGTCACTTGTGCTCAGTGAATTTTCTCATGATTTCAACACAACACAATGAGAGCAGGTCATATCAAATTGCCTTCTTTTATCCCTCCGTCTGTCTCTCCATAGAGACACACACACACCCTTCATCTCAGGGTGTGAACCTGGATTTATTCACAGTGGGATTCTCTCTCTCTCTCTCTCTCTCTCTCTCACACACACACACACACACACACACACACACACACACACACACAGTCCCTGTCAGTAATATTACACTCAGCCTCTTAACCTATTTAACAATTTTTACATCAGCCTTTTTGTTAATGTTTAGGCTGTGTACAAATTTTTAGACAAAATAAAGCATCAGCTATTATGAAAACCTAAATGCTGTTTATACAATAAGTGATGAGACATCAGACAGTTTCTCATGAACAAGCGACCAGGTGCTGACCGTGTGACACCAGGATGTGTTATGCTATGATGAACATCACAAAAAGAACATTTAAAAAAAAAAAAAAAAAAAAAAAAAAAAAAAAAAAAAAAAAAAAAAAAAAAAAAAAAAAAAAAAAAAAAAAAAAAAAAAAAAAAAAAAAAAAAAAAAAAAAAAAAGCAGTCAGCGAAGAGGTGTAATTTACACAGTGCTATATAATTAACTGCAAACAAATGCAAAAAAAATGATCATTTGATCATCTGATCGTTTGATAAGTATTAAGGCATAATTATTTATTTTATATAATTATTTATTCCTTATTATTATTATATAAATTGCATGATACCACTATTAACATTCCGATACTGATATTAAAACCTTACTAACATTGATACCCATTTGATATTATTTTTCTTTAAAAGCTAATAAGCTTTAAGATGTTTTTTTTTTTAACTGAAGCACTTGCATAGCAAAAACACAACATAAAAGACAGCAGTTAAACTCAAACACACAGAAAAATCATTTACATTACAAATAGAAATAAATATAAAAAAATTATAATATATTATAAATTATAAAATCAATCCTAACACAAAATATATTCATGTTATATTTGGTACAAGATTGGATCTAATTTTCGCTGATATCCGATCCACCATTTTGTGCTCGTATTCACCCAATACTGATCCAGGGTTTCAGATCGAGCTCTAATTTTTATTATTACCAATATCTCTGTGTGTGTGTGTGTGTGTGTGTGTGTGTGTGTGTGTATATGTGTGGGTATCAGTAGAACCTGTTTCTCAGAGAGTTAAGCCGGTTTAGGGTTGGGTTGGTCTCCTCACACTGTTCCAGGGTGTGTTGTTTACACAGTAACCACTGCAGCACCACTACATTTCTCTCACTCTCTCTCTCTCTGTCTCTCTCACACACACACACACACACGACAAGTTATACACCTGTTTCTACAAAAAAAAAACCCATACTTATTAGAACTACTTTTTAAAATAGTTATATTTTCTCTCAAAAATATACATGACAAAATTATTGGAATATTTTAAATATTTCAAGCAAATTCAAGTCATTCTTGAGTCAATTTCTCTCAAGCTGCTGATGATATAATTTATAATAAAA